TTTTAACTCTTATATTTATTTACATACAGATGAAAATAAACTTATCTAGTTTTTGTTTTTCTTGTTTTATTAACTATAAAAATTGAAAACAAGAAGAACAAAAAAAGAAAACAATAACTTTTATTTTCAATTAATTTAATTTTTTCAATATTTCTCTTCATATTTATTTTATATGTTACCAATACAAAAAAAAATATTTATTTTACTCGAACTATTATCCTAAGAAAAAAAAAAGTTATGTTCTTGTTATTTATTTATTATGATCAGTAATTTTTTTTTTTGCTTTTCACTCTTATTCAAACAAATTCGATTGAAGAACTATAGTTTTGACAATTTCAGTATCTTATAAAATCTTCTGTTTCCTTATATTTTTCTCAATTCTCCGAAAAATAAACAAAATTCTCTATTGGGTTTTTTTTTTCTCAATAGACTTTGAACATATTGAAAACGTTAACAAAAACATTAATAAACAAATATTACCTTCATCTGATGAACAATAAATACTTTGAAAATATAAATGAAAGTTATCCAAATTTTCTAATTGTTTTATCATGTTAACTTCGTTTTTGAATAACCTTGAATATTTACTTCCTTTAGAAATTTTTATTACAGGATGTGATGGACCAATTTTGGAATAATTATTATTATTTTTCTTCAATAAATAAACCATTGAAGTTAATCCGCCTCCTAATTTTCGTTGTATGCTATATTTATCATCATATAAATAATCATTTGGATTTATATTTAACGCCGTATATTGATAAAATTCTGTTTTCATTGTTAAAAATTTTAGAAATATTTTCCATGTATGTTCATTTATATAGCTTGTTTTTGATTGTTCATTTGTTGTTTTCATATTGACAGATGATGATGATGTTTGAAATAAATCATTAAATAATTTGAAAGATTTGCTTTGATAAAAATCATATAAATCCGAATACGGTTTCTTTTCAGCATAATAAAATCTTATATATTTAATATTTATTAAAAAACCATAGATCCTTTCACGAGTTTGTTTAAGTAATAGAATAGTCAAATAAAATAACAATTGTCCGATTGAATCAGTATCCGTTATAGGATTGCTTGATGATTTTATTTCACCAAGACACACAGTAACATCTTGTAAACATTCACATTGTTCATCAATATCGATATTCACATTTTTGTATATAAAAGTACAATCTGGAGCACGACCTTCTAGATAGTTTTTTTTACATGTTCGTAAATATTTTAATGATGTATCCTTATTTAATATGCTTAATAAACTAACTATTAATTTATCAAATGCATTTTGAATATTTGCTTTCAACATAATAGAAGATGATGTAAGACGAAGATAGTCTTCAATGCAATTTTTTAACTGATCATCAAGATCATCATTATCATTAAAGTGATTATTATCATGTAATAAATAATTAATTTTGAACGACTTAATATGTTTTGCATACGTATTGAAAAAACCAGGTTTACTTATTGCTCTACTCAGTTCTTCAATAAATGATGATGAAGATGGTGGTCCATGTGCTAATTTCATTCGTTTGCTGTTTTGTTCAACAACTAATTCTTTTTCTTTTTCAATAATAGCTAATTTTGCTTCTTTTTCTTTTTCAATAATAGCTAATTTTGCTTTTTGTTCTTTTTCTTTTGCTTCTTTTTCTTTTTCAATAATAGCTAATTTTGCTTCTTTTTCTTTTTCAATAATAAGTAATTGATTTTGTTGAATAAGTAATTGATTTTGTTGAATAAGTAATTTATTTTCTTGAATAAGTAATTTATTTTGTTGTTGTTGTGTTTTCTTTTTTGCAATATCTAATGCTCGTTTTGTTGGACTTAAAGTAATTTCCAACGTCTTTGAATTTCCTTGATCACCATTACTCATTATGGTATGTTTTTCGCTTGTTTTTTTAATCTACAAATACGAGAAAAATTATTTGTGTAAAGATGATGAAATCAGGCTTAATCAGCGTTTCTAATGGAAATCTAAAATACAATGTACTGTACACTCTATTTTCTTAAAACAAGATGTATGTGTAGACTTTATTTTTAAATGGTAAGTGTACAAAATGTACTCAAACAAAGGTTCATTTACTAGAAAAACACGAAAAATAAATCAAGTTCATATTTTTTTCCTTTTATAAAATAATACATCAATTTTAAACAAACAAATAATAGATAAACAAGTACAATTTACATTTGATGGTTTCATAAATACATAAACTGTAAATATAAAAAACTGGAATAAGAAATCAACATAAAATTTTAATATAGATTACTATGTATAGTCTATGTACACATCCAGATGAGTCATCGAATCAATGTCGAAATGCACTTTCTAGTTTTTATGAGGCATCAGAAGATAAAAATACGATGGAAATACTTTAAAATAAATTCTCTTTCAAACTGCTTTTTTATTTTTTCAATAAAATTAGTCTCATGCATTTCAGAGCGTAAAAGAACTATGCAACATTAGATGTCGCACAATTCAATTTCATAATTTTTGTCTGTAACTCCGAAGTTTTAATTCATCAGAAGAAATTAATACCATAAATGTTCCATTTTAGGTTTTTCCTTTATTTATTATAAAAATGGGCTCTTAAAAATCAGTCTCACCAAAGTGCATTGGTGGAAAATATTTCGACATTGATTGGCAATTCCAGCTACGCTTTTTTTCACCAGACCACGTACTATAAATAAATTTGAACTGCATCGACGTGTATCATCACGTATTCTTGTATTCTACCAATCAAAACTTATCATTAAAATGTAGTCAAAGTGCATAGTTGAGTATAGTTTATGGAATGAACTCTCACCAATGTATTTCATCCATTGTACATAAATTAATTTCAATATTTATTAGCAAGAAATTCATTGTTCTGAACATGTGTTTCGTCATGTTCACATTTTTTTTTGTCATTCAGTCTTTATTTTAATATGATTCGTCATGTATTACCACCATAGACAAACAACTATATATTCGGCAAATAGTGAAAATGAGCTTCTCTGAATTTGAATGATAGTCTATAATAATTTCATTCATTAACGATTTAATGAAGTAAAAAAGTTTGTTTTCGTTCTTCAGTTAACAAAAAAAACTCTTGGTTACAAATTTGAACATTTTTAATGATGTAGAAATGAAAGAATTCATCTTTTTTTCGATATGGTAGTAAAAGGTAAGCTAATAAATTATATACACTCTGAAATTAAAATTTCTGCTCTATCGATTCGGAAAAACAACGTTCCTTTAAAGGATTATCCAAAGACTGTCTTGCTCAAAAACAATGTTAGACAAAATAACAGCAGACTTAAAATAAGCGCGAGAAAGTGCATCAGATAAAGCATAATTTTGTCTCCTATTTTGGACTCTTTTAATTTGACTTACAAATCAAATGAAAGTTCATTCTATCTTCTCACGGAGATGAACAAGGAGTATGTCAAAATATTGTTTTTTTTTCCTTTTTCCTTTATCTAAAATTGTTTACTGGTCTATTCAATATGAGTATAGCCATGATGAAATGTCTTTTCTGCTGTGCTTTGAAATCAGCGATCAATTTTGAATTTAAAGTCATTCGATAGCTCTTTTAAAGCTCTATCCATTGGCAATATTGCATCAGATAAAACACTTCATTGAAACGTGCAATGCTTGTGAGTGCTAAAAAACATTCTTTTCGACTGATATTTTATCGGTTTTGGTGGGAATAGTTAGACTTTCTAACGAAAAAAATTTTATCTTTGAAATCAACATAGAAAAGGGAATATATCTATAAATATCGTAAAGTCCTTCGATAACTTCTATTTCCGTTCGAAAAGTCAGTCCTAATAACGCTTAAGGTTACATAAAAAAATGAAGTGGCTCAAAACATAGGTTTCACTATGAAAAGCTTCTTCTAAATGTTTTAAAGCATGCATGACGTATAAACAAACGAATAATCTCACCTAAAAGAAAAAGGAAAGAACACTATTTTGTCATTACCCTTATTGGCCGTTGATAGAAAAACTTTCTATAGGATTGGTGCATAGTATGACACTGGAAGATCAATAATATCGAGCTTTCAGTCAATCACTACACAACCGGAATGAGGTCTAATTGTCTGATTCGAGCTACAATTAACGCTTAACATCTCAATTGGCTATTGAAACAATAAGAAATGCAACCTCGACAGAGGGATCCTTTTCGCTGCTGAACGATCCCTTCTTGAGCAAAGGTTTTCTTCCAGATTTTACGAGAAAAATTCTTTGTTTTTGCTTTTGAATTTCATTGTTTCTCGTGTAGTAGAAACTGATATTTTTTATGGAAAAAAAGATGATTTTCAACGAAAATGAGTCATGTCCATGGGCTCCATATGAATTGTCCACTATGTGCCACCTCAGGTAAATGTTTATAACGTGGCTTCAACAAGGCACAGTCATCATATTACAATTAGTAGATTTAGATGAAACTGTTTGCGATGGATTTGTTATATTTAATTCATCTCTTAAAAGTGAATTGAATCTCAATGAACTTTTCTTTATTCAACATAAACTTTTTCTAGTGACGGCAAAACCTAAAAGTACGTTTCTATTGCATTGGTCCAATATATTTTATTTATGTAGTAGTGTTCCCTCTTGATATAAAGACTCCTGTAAATATTTTGAATAAGCTCGTGTATAGACGTGAGTATTTAACACAATCATCAATTGTTAAAGTTGCTCGGCTGCTTTCAGAGTATATAGAAAATAATTTGTTATTGCATAGTATCGCAATGTCTTATGGAATTAGTTTGTATTTAAAAAATCTATTATAAGTTAATGTTCGATTAAGATCCAAATATTGCTTTATAATTTCGATAATATCACAAAACAGTCAATTAATTGAAAAGCAAAAGCATCATGAAAATTGCCAAAAAGAAGGCTTTCAAGTACACTCATATATATATATATGTACATAATAATAACATTTCATTTCCATTCGCTCCAATTGAATGTGGTGTATTTCAATATCCGTATGTTTTTTCTTTGCAACCATGATTTTATCATTGACAATGACAAGAACTGAATTTTCTTATCATCTACATGGTCGCTTTCATGGATCGTTACAATCAATGAATGATCATGAAGACATTGTAAACTCAACTGTACCTTCTACAAATGAAGATCTTGTATCGAACAATTGTTCATTGCAACCAATTAATATCGATGTACAACTGGATAAACTTGAGAGTGACGATCAAAGACAAAAATACACTATGATAACAATTACTTCCGTTTGGAAGAAAATCATAGTAAAAACTGACAGTGATGACAATAATAGTGAAGCTGATGAAATAAATGATAGCTCAATATCGTTCATATCATTGAATACAATCCAAGTAATATTCACTGTTCCTTCTACTATAATTTCAAATGAATCAATTCTTAATCGAACAGTATTTATAACTGATATTAAATCTAATCAATTATTAGCATCTTTAAATCATATTTGTTTCAATGGATCATCGTTCATTATTAATTATTCAACGAACCAATCATTACCATATAATATGTGTTTATATGTTTTAATATCATCTATAACATTGAGAGAAATCTTTATTTGTTGTACTATTAACAATAATTCCGACGATAATGAAAATCAGATCGTAGGACCAAGTATATCTTTTATTATGTCACAATCTGTTATAAGTCTTCTTTTGATGCTTATTATAAACTTAGTACAAACAAGTAGAAAGAAAAATCTAGTTAATTGTGTTGGTAAACATTTTTTTCACAATAAATTAATTACTCATAAAAATAGTATTACGATATTGAATGATAGTATAAATTCCGAAATGATAAATGATATTCATTTAAAGAATTTTATTTCATCATCTGTTGAAGAACAAGTATTAGCTGCAAATGATTTAACATCAACACGTGATAATCGAAGATTTACACATCATACATTAATTGATATTAAAGAACTAGCAAAATAATTAAGTTTATCAAATAAAAATTTAGAATCTCATATTTCTTTATAAAAAAAAAAACAATAAATTATTCTTCTTTTGAAACTAATATTTCATTTATGCAAAAATCATTTGAATCCATTGGTATACTATTTTTTTCAAGAATTTGTTGACGATAAGCTAATCCAATAGTATAAAAATTTCCATTTAATGAATTTAAATATTTATCATAATAACCTTTACCATGACCAAGACGAGAACCATCTAATGAAAATCCTAAACCAGGTACAATAATAAGATCAATATTATTATTTGCTATCTCACGACTTTTATCATCTAAAGATGGTTGTCGAATATTCCATTTTGTTACAGGTAATGAATCAAGATCATCCAACGAATAAACACGTACCATATCCATTGATGCTGAATTATAACGTGGTATAAAAACATGTTTATTAGATTGGAATGCATGTTGAATTATATAGCGTGTAGATATTTCAGTATTCATATGAACATAAATAGATATTGCACGAGATGATTGATATTTTGGATGATGAAGAAGATAATTAGTAACTATATTCGATTGATAAAAACGATCTTCATTAGACATTTTTTTGAGTATATGACGAATTTTTTGACGAATAATTTGTTTTGCTGCATAAACCATTATGATGAATTGTCAATAGACGAACCAAAAAATGATCACAATTTTTTCACGTTCTCGGAATGTTTTCTACAATGAGATATTAATTAAAAAAAACGGTTATTCATGTCTTTTTATTCAATAAAAGCTTAGATGTACTAGTTTTAAAAGGTTTATGAAATAGAAAAAGTTATAGATGTATATAGAAAATCATCCGCTTCAAAGAAGTTGGATCTTCTATCGAGTCGAATTTAATTCTACAAGGTTTTCTAGAAAACCAAAAGGATTTAGAGGATTTCAGAATCTATTTTTAAGATTTTTAAATGCTCCGAAATAATGTTGACCTGAATCTTCTAAGAGATCCTGAGCAAAAACTAAGTAGTCATATTTTGATGTAAATACGTTAAGTGAAGTTCTAGATTTTCAAGAAATTAATTAAGTAAGAAAGAAAGGTTGTCGACTTGAACTTTTCGTTTAGTAGAAATCGAGAATACCGGCATCTTTATATCAACAAAAAAAAATAAGCGAAGAAATGTTTTTATATTCTTATATTTGATATAAAGAGCTATTGAAAAATTAAAAGATATCAATTAGTAGTAACCTCAAAATAGAAATGTTTAATAATTACAGATTTCTATGAATTTAAATCCAGACCATTTCATACTAAAATCTAAATACACCGAATTATTAGATTCGATCTAAAAATTGATATTAAAATCAGACTGATTTGTAAATTATGTTTACTTGATATCTCTTCAACTGATTATTTATTTTGAAGCAAACCCAGCACTATCCGTTTGTAAAAGTATTGTGAATAATTGTTTTTTGAATAACTTCAGAATATGAGGAGCTAGAAACCCTGTAATATTCACCATTCAAAAGAGCAAAATGATGAACGTGAATCTATGTAACAATTCATGGATTAGTATATGAAAGTATCCAGTATCTGTGCCTTCAAATTTAGGCGAAATTTATAGTCAAATGTCTCTATTTCGAATATTTAGCCTAAGAACAAAACTCAAAAAAATAAAATTTGGAACTTATTCTGTTTAAAAGAGGCGAGTTCCCTCTGATAAAACGGTAAAGTTTATTTTAGTCATTTTGGATGAGGTTATTATAAAACTACGAATATATACCTTGTTTAACAGATTGGATTTTTACATAGATCCGCTCTTTCGGATGATAAAAATCATAAGTCTCTAGCTATTATCATTCTAGATCTATTTCGAAAATAACAGAACACATTATACTCTCAAATGAATAGTAGCCGTTATTTTCTTTACTTATATTCAGTTTTGACTTTTATGAGAGTACTTCTCCAATTGATTAACTGCTTCTGAACCGAGACTATGTGCATAAGGTAGACGCCAATGATTTTTGAATATCCTAAAAAGAGTTCGAAGTCTTGGTTTATTGCTACGTAGATGCTACAAGTTTACAGTAGTTTTTAAATGAATGTTGTCGTCCTCCTCGGAAAACTAATTTTTAAATTTCGATTTGAAACTATGTATGGTGACAGATCTGAACGAAAGTAGTTTGTTATGGAATTTTCAGATCTTTTTATGTACTTCTATACTGAAATAAGAGCATCGATTCTATTTTCATAAGTGAGGTAAAAAAAAAACATATTTTTACAATAGCTCTATCTTAAAATAGGTACAACAAACAGGATCTGAAACATTCACAAGAAATTATTCTCGTTAAAGAACTGTCTCTATGCAAAGTTTCAAGCCGAAATTCAAGCATAAGTTTTTCCGAGGAGGACGACAACATTCATTTAAAAACTACTGTAAAACTGCAATATCTTCGCAGCAATAAGCTAAGGATCTGCATTGTTTTCAAGGTATTCATAGCTCATTTATTTCTCTATAATGCGCATAGTCTCAACTTAAAAGCAATTTATTAATTGCGGAGCTTCTCTTATTCGTCGAAAGATAAGTTCGCATACTTTTGCTGATAACAGTCGAATAAATTAGTTTAAAAGAGTATTAAATTGATTTTGTTTTTATGTAAATAAATAGTGATTAATATATCTTAAATTTTTTCATAATGTTCAATTCATAAACTCAATTGTTAGAAATTTCATTAAAATTCAAATAAAACATCGAATACTTATAACCGCTGTAAGATTTTCTGTCAACAAAATAATTCTAACTTCATAAACAATGAATATCTAGATTGCTTTCTTTTATATCCAAAAGTTAATATACAAACATATGACAATCAAAAAACCAACGAATTACACACAAAAATTGGTATTAAGTATTATTCAGTCAATTTAGAGACATCTTCATAAACCATATTTTCAATTCGAGTACCAATCATTGAACCCTAAAACAAACTATTTGTATTCTAAATACGAATAAATATTATTTCAACTCTAACCGTTAGTAAAGTAATATCAACTGAAAATGTGTCTTGATGAATATCTTCTAAAGTTGCTTGTTGTCCACGATATGCACCATTAACAACTAATACCTTTTTACCAATAGCTGGTATGACTGTTTCAACATGAGCTTGATCAATACGAATTTTATCATTTGTATCAATCATTTTAATGATAGCTTGATAACGATTTTCAACTTTAATAACAATACCTTTCTTTTTATAATATTTTTCACCAAGTTTTAATGTCATTACTTTAACAATGATACCCTGCAAAATGATAAATAAATTTATATATTTTTTAATGGAAAATTTGTTTACTTCATGTAACCAATAATCTTTACGATTTTTTTCTTCTTTCAATTTTTCTTCCATCTAAAATAAAATCTTTTATTTCTATATATATATATAAACATAAAAATTAAAAAGAAATTACCTCTCGAACTTCTTCAAGTGCTGTTTTCTTTGTTAATAGTTTCTTAAAAACAGATTCATCTGTACTTTCTATTTTAGGTTTTTTCACATCCATTTCATCAGTACTATTTGTTCGTTTTTTACTAGCTGTTGCCAGAACAGATGGACTAAAAAGAAAAATTCCTACTTATAAAAATAAATAAAAACAAATCGTCTTACGGTAGAATTTTTTTCTTTTCAGCAACTACACTTTGATTAAATGATACTTGAACTAAAAATACAATAGTGAAGAATAAGATAAATAATATTAAATCTACCTTTTTCTTCTTCATCTTTTCGCACAAGTTCAGTATAGATTGGTGCAGATACTTCAATACATTTTTCTTTATCTCTTTTGATCTAAATAGAAAAAATAAAATCAAGAAAATAAGAATTATTCTTAACTAACTTGTTCAGCAATCAATTTTTGTCTTCGTTGTTCATCATCTAAATCCATTTTTTCTTTTCGTTCAGTTTCCATTTCACGTTTTACTGCATCAGGATCTTTATCAATTAATGTTATATACCATCCTCTTTCAGTTTGTTCAATTTCACAAAGACCTATTATACAAAATATATTCAATAAATCGATTTAAGCTAATCATTTTACCTTGACTTCCAAGCCAACGAACATAACCTGCTAATGCTACCCAACGTGTAGCATTCATATGAATATGATCACGATCTTTAATATATTCACAATAGACTGTATTGGCTAGAACACGTTTTGTGCCAAATGAACGACGTAATGTGCTGAAAAAACCACTATGAAATTCACTAAACACAAAAAAAATCTTTGTTTTGATTTTTGAAAAATCAAATATTGTTTATTTACCGCGAATAATTCGCAATATGTTTGCCCGGATTTTCGCCAACAAGTAATAATTGTCGTTGATGTGATTCACTTTGTGTGTGACATTTAAATCCATTCTATTGAAATAGATTAAAAAAAATGAACGATTCATTTTAGCTTTTTTTTTTTTAATTAAATAATTGAATTCCATTTGATCATATATTTGTAGTTTAAAGGTCAATGTAAGACTAATTGGATAACAGTTTTCTTTCACAAAAAAGAAAAGAATTTGAATGATATTTGTTAATACTAGAGAATAGAATTGTTCTTTTCTATTTATATTACAAAATTTTACCTCATCCCGACATTGTTTTTGGCATGCTTGACAATACCATCGTAATTTTTGTAAACCTTTTGCTTTTATTCGATTGCTAATAGCTTTTGGTGTTAAAAATCCACCATTTTTACCCATGGCTTTATTTCAAATTATCTACAAAAGGAAAAACAGTAAAAGATTTCTATTCTAATTCTGAAGAAGATATATCTTTTCATTCAAAAATTTCAATCGAATTCGAAATATTATAGCAAAACAAACTTAAGTCTAATCTAATAGGATTTCACTATGATTCTACCCGTGGTCCAAAGAATAGTTTGATTGCTAATATTCTTTCATAAAAATATTGATAATGATAAATATGTAAGAAAATTTCTTTTAAATTATTGAACTTATTTATATTTCACAGAATGAATGTTGCTTATATTTATTTATTTTGATAAAATTAATATTAAACTTAAATAATAATTTAGAAAAAGATAGCGATATTCAAATTGTCTCTAAAATGATATATTCAGTAAAAACAGACTATTTAATAAATGAATCAGTGCATGCATGCATCACAACTCTATAATATGGTACAGTATGGATTTTTTCGTTCTAATAAAAAACAATGATAAAAGATGTCATTAGATTGGAGATTAATAACGACTATTTGCTAAATTTCACCACTAAGAACAACTTATACATTCTGTACAATAACTAACTTACTTTACAGTTAATGAGCTCTTGTTTTGATGGAGTATTAGTAAAATATGCTCAGAGTCACTTGGAACTATTTTGAGCAACTCTGAAACATTTTGAACTATCCTAGGCCATTATCACCCAATTCTACTTGAGAAAATATGTGCTTAGGACCAAGAAATCTATTGAAAACACTCTTCGACGTATTCGAACTGATCTCATGTGAGATCATATTCTTCATTACTATAACTATTTACCGTGATCTTTCTTAATTATAAGTGTGCATCTTGATTTAAAAAAGCTATCAATTGACATACTTTATTAGATCTTCACATTTTTTTATTCTCTCTTCTTCATTTTTCGTTGTTTTGCTTTTATTCCGCATTCTTTTTCATCTCTGATCTCGGCTTTTATTATTATAGGGACAAAAACTGATTCTTTTTGCTCGTATACATATGCACGACACGAAAATTTCGACAAAAATGAATATCTAATGTCATTTCTTTTTGCTTAGTGTTCTTGTTGATACTTGTGCAGGAGATTGCCTCGGTTTGGTGTCTGCAGATTGAGTGATTTTGAAATCGATGGTTTCTAGATGATTTGTTACAGTGCCTCCATACGAGCTGTGAGCGGCCGTATACGATTAAAATATGGTAATTGTCGGCGTGCAAGCAGTAGCCGTACGCGGTACACAGTATTATAGTACAATACAGTTCCATATACGATGCTTGTCTTCGATGCCGCTGTATCCATGTCGTATTGAGATCATAACAGTGAACTGTTTTAAACATGTGTTTACACACTATGTAACGGTACACAATAGATCGCTCTTCTTGAGTTCAATCTAAAACTACCAACATCATCAGGTTTCAACATATTTCGAAACTCTCTCATCGTAAACATAGCTCTATTTCTAGTTTTTCTCGCTAAAATTCTTTGTTTTTGTTAAAGCGAAGCCTCCTTATTTTGTTTTGAGGCATTTTATATATCAATGGATACCTTCCAATGAACTCTATCCTATGTCACTGAGTCCGATTTATAAAATGCCTCTATACTTCATATTTCATTGTGCTCCGTATTAGTTTACAATAACAAGTCAACGGCAAAAGTATACTTTTTTATACTTCATGTTCGTTGGTTTTTAGTAATATGAAGTATTGTAACATTAGTGGTTTTCTTATTAACTTTTACCACCATGAAAGAATTTTAAGTCCCGGTCCAGTCTGTTTTATGTTCGGTGAGGACTACAATTCTTTTCTATCCAGTTCTCAATAGACTTTTGAAAGTTGCTTCTTTTTTTTCCAACATTTTTCATATCTAATACAAGACGTTAGGAAGTAGATATAATAAACACATGTCATTGCAAGATATCACATGTGGACACGAGTCGCAGAAATGAAAAGCGTTCTTTATGAGGCCAAATATGGCAAGCATATGGCCACTTACGATGCGAATACGGCGACATACAGTAATATTTATTTTAGCTGTAAACATCGTATACGGGCACCATAACAAATCATCTGAGAACCATCGATTTCAATATCACTCAATGTGCAGGCGCCAAATCGGGGCAACCCCTCCACAAGCATCAACAAGAATACTAAGCAAAAAGAAATGACATTATATATTCTTTTTTTGTCAAAACTTTCGTGTCGCACATATATATATGAACAAAAAGAATCTTTTCTTCTCCGGACAATAATAATAGCTGAGTCAAGCGATGAGAAAGAATGTGGAATAAAAGCAAAACACAATGAAAAAAGGAAGAAAAGAGAATAGGAAAATGTGAAGACCTAATGAAGCATGCCACTTAATAGTTCTTTTAATCAAGATGCAGAATTATGATAAAACAAACCCACAATAACTAGTGATAGTAGTCAAGAACATGATCTCACATGAGATCAGTTCGAATACATTGAAGAGTGTCTTCAATAGATTTGCTCGTAAACGCACATTTTCTCAATTGGAATTGGGTGAGCATGATCTATGGTAGTTCAAAATGTTTCAGAGTTGCTCAAAATGGCGCAGATTGGGTCAGAGCATATCTTTCTAATCCCCTACTTTGATATGGGAACTTGATTCTTGTGTAGAACAATCAAATATACAGAAAAGACCAATATCTATGAATGTTAAATATACGCATCTGAGTGTGCTAAGTAACTCAGAATTGGGCGACAAAAACTGTATGATAGCATTCCGTTTGTTTTTCACATCTTGTATTGAAGAAAAACATAGTCTCGAGAAAGCCTTTTGTACCGCTTAAAAGATTGTTCGATGCTCTACAAAATTGGCTCTCGAAACGTTTTAAATAAAAAAAATTTTCTCAAGAAGTTAGAGTTTTATCAATAGCACTGGAAAAGACTCTTTTTATGTAATAACAGCGTCACCCCCTGATGAAGCCTTCATAGAAGTCCGAGACTTCAGCAGGAAAAGGTCATTCTAACTGTATAAAGAGAATATGATAAGCTGTATAGAATGACGCTTTAATGAACCTTCTAGCTGTGAAACCTTCTAACATAATTGCAAAAAAGCATGTCAGAAATGTAACAGCATAACGTTTGAACAAGTTATGATAGAAAAGTTCTTGAGGAAGTGTCGCTTCATTTTTTATCAGCTAAAGCATACTTTGGGAAAATCGAGATCACTTATTGAGGATTTATGTTGAAAGGTCTTTCTATCTGTACGTTCAAAAGAATTCTGTCATATTTTGTTTTTGAACAAGAAGTATCTTTGAACGGCAGTAGAAAATGCTTTGTAAGAACATCTTGAAATGACTGCATTAGAAGAAACCGATTTCACAATATTTTCCGATGATTTCCTATACATTCCGATTATACTTTGTTGCTTTTTGTTAGATTCACCATTTAATTGTTTACGAAGTTGGTAGCAAATAATACAAGATTATTTAGATACCATGATGATAAAAAATTACAAAAACAAAGATAAAAGAAATATTGGTAAAGCTTGGATGTGCAAACGATAGCAGGTTTATATGAGTTGTTTGGTCTTTTAATAGCACTGTTTAATAAGAACATGAAATGATGACTATAAGACATTCAGAACACTGCTGATATGAATACATCAAAGCCAATATGTACCTGACCTGCAGAAACGATCAACTCGAATGTTGAACAAAAGAAACAGAACATCGAGTATAAAAAAGCCTTAGAGCTCAACAGTTAACTTTTTTCGGTGTTATCTGATAAAATTCTCTGCATAATTTGTCAACAACTGAATACGAACTTTAATAAAGAAAAAAAAATGAACATTATCTAATGGAATAAACATAACAAAGTCATCAAAATTTTTGCGGTAACCATAGTGCTGTTCGAAGATTTGATCATCGCTTAAAAACAATATATGATAGAATTCTTTTAAATACACAGATAGAAAGATCTTTCAACATAGATCCTGAATAGATGATCTCGATTTTTCCAAGAACTCTTGCATCGCTCGTTATTTTCTCTCAAAAAAGCATTTTTTCATCGAAATATCAATTTCCAGTACTCAATAAAAAGATTGAATGGAAAAGAGTGGAATTCGTAAAAGAACATTTGTGATGGAAAAATGCATGATGGGTCAAGTACTTATGAGATAAAATAATGCGGAAAAACTTGAAAAACCAATGTTTCTGTAGAAAATCTCTACAGAAAATCGAACAAAATTCGTACTATATAGAGATCTCAACGTCTCTAATGACGTTTCAATGAGGATTAGACGACATGCCGTTCTCCAGATCATCTTGTCGCAAAATATGGGCTTTGGACGCGAAATCCTAGAAAGAAAAGAAAATCTTGACTAATCGCTATACACTTTTTCGTACCTTAATTAATAAACAGTTAGTCCTAATTACTGCAAAAAAGAACTAAATCGATACTTTTAAATTGATAAATGTCTCTCATTGCTTAATTTAAAGGAAAAATTAAATTATTTGTCTGTACTATGATATATAGGTCTTCATAATATGAAATTGCCATCAATTCAAAACAAAAGTTATTTTCCATCTTTCTTTTTATCTAAGTTTAGCAAATGAAATCGAACGAATTATCATTTATAGATTTCAATATTACTCAAGAAGTAAACCGTTGAAAATAAAAATTCTTTAGATCACCATTCATTTAATTATTATGTAGAATTCACTAGGAAAGAACACAGAATTGTGCAAGTCATCTGAGTAGTTATGCTGACAAGTCGTACTCGCTAGATAAATAGTTTCCATAGGACATGCTTTTAAACAAATTTATTTAGAAATTACTAAAGGATTTAAATTGATGCTATCATAGAAAAAAGAACAATAGGTATATGTAATATTGTTGTGTTAATTCTTTTTAATATCCAAAAAGCATCTTCTGAAATTCATTGACTTCTATTTAAAATATAATTCGTTTTTATTGAAAAATATTTTTATTCACCATGAATCGATACAATTTTGGTTGCGTTCTACGCAGAATAATATCTGTTAGAATTTTCTCTATCTATTTTCAAAAATATCAAGAAACAAAAAGAATCTATTTAATAAAACTCACTGAATTTTTGCTTAGGCTATTAATATCAATTTTAGAATATTGTTTTTCTATATAACCTACTTATCAAATCAAATCGATGCATGACAAAATTTATGTGCGCAAAATGAGTCATGTTTTAGTCACATAATGACGTGCTCGTATGAAGAAAACTAGTAGGTTCTGGTTCATTGATCTTCAAGCTCCTATTTAAATCAATTATTTGTAGACTTATTAATACAACACACACACACACAAATTGTAAACTTATTGTTATTTAAAACAGTCCTACATACTATTTACATACGGTAAGCATGTTTTGTATTTTTTAATTATTTAGAATAAAAACTATGTGCTTGTTGATTGTTATTAAAAGCCTTTTTTAGTAGAAATCTACAACCAGTATTATTATCTTCATTAAAGACAAGAATTATTGTATACGAAGAAGATCACTACAATTGAGCTCAGTCTAATTGACAACAAGATAATCATTTCGAGTTTCTATTCTGAATAAGTTAGAGTTGAAAATGAGTAGACATTTATAAAAAGAATCTTTCTATTTCAAATAGAGATTCAGATAATTTTTAATCTTATTGAAAGATGAAGAATATTAGAGTAATAAGTAGAAAACAAAATAGATAAAAGTTTGACTCAAAAGAAATGAAAAAAAAAAAACAATTTGAAAAGATTTTCTTTTTCAAAATGAATTGATGAAAAAAATTCCAAAAGATTATTCGATTTCGAATAAATTAATTTTCAGAACACTAACAAAAAAGTCTGTTTGCGAGTTACATTATAAAAACAAAGCATTAAGTGAAAAATATTTACAAGAACAAATAGATCAATATAATGAGGATTTCAAATCTCAAAATAACATGAATAACTGGATCCACATCTTAAGGTGAGTTTTTGCTTAGTTACTTTGATATAATGTACTCTCTAATAGTAAGTATATCCGAATATATAAATATTGGTTGTGAATGAGATTATGGAGAATGTTATTTTTTAGTCTTATGACCTGCATCTTTTTCACATGCGGTCATAAGGATTTTTCCTCTCTATTTGTATACGCTTATGTTCTTCTTCTTTTCGTTTGCTGTCAGTCATGCATCAAGCAGTTTTTCATTCCTGTCGTATATATGTATTGAATTTTTCTTCTTTCCTTCTGTTTTTCTCTCATTCATATTGTTGTATGGATGTTCCTTTCTTTGTTCATCGTTTATGGGATTTTCCATTAAGGATTCTTCCATGTTATTGTTCTATATATATTCGTTAGATTGTTGTAAAGATAATGGATTGGAGATAGTTATAGTTATAAAAGAAAAAGGTATAAGTGGGATTAAGATCTCACATGTGGCAATTTAGAAAAATGAAATTTAGTTCTATAAAAACTCATAATGTTTTTGAAAGTATTAGAGATACCGAAATCCTCAAGATATAGGCCTATAGATATATGAGAAGCATACAGGTTTTAGAAGTTTTGGAGCTAAAGAGATGTTCGATGTATTGAAAGTCTAACAAGGGAACTACCAAAACTGATATTCACCATTTAAACTCATATTAAGGTAACCAAGAAGCCTTGGTAAGGCTAGATAAATGCTAAAAAATTCGTTTTCATGGACTTCTAGAGCCGAGTTATGATCGTTTTACTGAATTTTTGATCGAGCTTTGGATATTTATCGAAAAACCAAACAACTGTATTATGATCTGAAATTTCTTTGATGAACAAATCGAATGGCTAGTAGAATATTCTGAAAACTTCAGCTGAAAAGAATGTTTCTTTGTCGTCATATTGAACTTTCAAGTAAACTCAATTTTTGTGGCAAGCGACCGTGTTTTGAGAGTTCAATATCTCAGTAAAGGAATATTCTTTTCGACTGAAACTTTCAAGAAACTCTACTAGTCATTCGATTTGTTTATGGGCGAAATTTTATATTGATACATCATTATGTTATTTTTCGTTAAATACATAAAGCCGGATCAAAAATTGAATCAAACGGTCATAACTCAGCTTAAAAGGTCCATGGGCACGAACCCTTTTAGGATTTTTCTAGTTTTACCAAGACCTTCTTGTGTGAACCCAATATGACCTGAAACGGTGGGTACCAGTTCAGCTAGTTCTCTTGAAGGAATAGAGGTGTAAGAATGCTAAATTGAAAAAACATACAGGTTACAATGTGCACACAGACTTGACTATGGATCGCTACTCTACATGTTTTTACTCTTACAAGGATGCCTTCATAAATGTTCTCTTCTGATTTCAAAGATATTTTTGTCTACAAATACTACATAGCATTCTAGTAAATGTCCTAAATTGATAGAAATTCTAATTTATGCTTAGTAGAGCTAAATAATTTTTAATATGTCTATTTGCCAGAGACCCTGCAGGACGTCACGTTTTTGGAAATAATCGTACTTTTGAATTTTATGTTGAAGCTACCTCCATTTGAAGGTCTTCCATAGAGAAAGCTTGTACGAGACCTTCAAATAGGATTCATTTGAAGACAAAATTCAAAAATATGATTTTTCCAAAAAATTAGACATTCTATTGAGAACTCTAGCAGATAGACAAATCTACCCGTTCTCTATAAGACTTCTTTATTAATATCTTTTAATAACTAACTGCTTAATGAACAATTTGTCGACTGTTTTTTATTCTTCTATTCCATTGTATTTTATATCTTTTATTAGATATGCACTACTTAAATTATTTAACTATTCTAATTGTATCCAGTATTATAATGCTGGAAAAACGGAGTGATGCCAAAGCAATCTTTGATAATGAATATCGTAGCGATTCAGAAGAACAAGATCGAAATTTATTCAAGCTATTCAATAAACGGCTCGTAAAACGTCAAACTAGTAAGTAAAGATATCATTAATTGTTCCGCTTTAAGCAATGTGATAAAAATCAAGTATGAAAAACAAACAAAACAAATGAATCTATATTAATTAGGAGACAAGAAGATTTTGTTCAATGAATCGTTTTCATGATAATTATTGAGTGATATACGTATATTATCAATAATCTCCTTCGTTCGTTATTACAACTGTCATAATACAGGAAAAAGTTTTTACAGAACTGATCAAATTGATTTCTAATCATTTCTCTAGTTAAATATTTTGGGTAACTTGACTTGATAAGAACGTGTAAAGCTTCGAAAGTCTAAGTATAAAATAATAAATCAGACTGCTGAAAACATCTACAATTTGACATGTAATCATTCTAAAACAAATGAACATAGAAGGTTTTCACTACGTCGACTCGAATAATGATGTTTGTTTTCAGTTTCAAAACAGTTTGAAGTATATTAATTAGATTTGCAAGTTTTGGTCTAGAATGATATATAATGGTAGTTTACAGGAATTGAAAAATGTTCATCTACCACTTCAACGTTGCTTTCAAACTGATATCAAACATCATCCATCTATTCTGAGTAATAAAAACTCTTAGGTGAGTGGAGCCGATCGACAGGATCTAGAACTCTCCGAATAATGCCGATATTTCGAAATACAATATTTTGAAACAAATAGTTTAATTCATACCGAAACGGTGACTATAAGTTTTGGATAATTTTTGACTGCAGAAAGGAATATATGTAGATTTCCAGAGAAAAACTTTCTATATCTAATAGTGTATGCATTATGAAATTTTTACGGTGCACTGCTGAAAGCTCATTAGATGATGCCACCTATGAACGTGTCAACAGTGTTTTCTACATATATTCTGTATCATACTCAAAATCTTATAGTTATCTTTCACTGGTCTAATCTCGAAAATCAATTAAATTATACTAGACGAATTGCATATTCTATCCTATACATACTTAATATTATTTGATTATTTACAATTTTTTCAAAGCGTGTTCAAAGCCTTATCATGTTCTGACTTCGGATAATCGATGTGTTTGGAGTTGTGGTGAAGGCACTCAACCTGATAGCACAACTAACGAATGTGTCTGTCAAGTTGGATATTACCAAACTGGCACTGATCAATTTGGAAGAAGAGTTTGTACTAGTAAGTACTGTTGTCATATATGAGTTTTCTCAAACTGTGCGCTCTATGTTTGAGAATTAGTTTACAGATTCTTTTATGACTGATAGATAACTAATAGATTCAGTGCTCGTCTCGCAATTGTTTAGATCTTTTATTATATTGTATTATCTGTTGTATATTATTTATTATTTATTGTCTTTCTGTTGTATAGTTTGTCCAACACCATATCATGTTTTAACTTCGGATAATCGATGTGTTTGGAGTTGTGGTGAAGGTACTGAACCTGATAGCACAACTAATGAATGTGTCTGTCAAGTTGGATATTATCAAACTGACACTGATAAATTTGGAAGAAGAGTTTGTACCAGTAAGTACTGTTGTCATATATGAGTTTCCTGAAACTGTGCGCTCTATGCTTGAGAATTAGTTTACAGATTCTTTTTGTGATTGATAGATAATTAATAGATTCAATGCTTGTCTCGCAGTTGTCTAATTCTTTTATTATATTGTATTGTCTGGTGAATATTATTTATTGTTTATTGTCTTTCTGTTGTATAGTTTGTCCCACACCATATCATGTTCTGACTTCGGATAATCGATGTGTTTGGAGTTGTGGTGAAGGTACTGAACCTGATAGCACAACTAATGAATGTGTCTGTCAAAATGGATATCATAAAACCGGTACTGATCAATTTGGAAGAAGAATTTGTTCACCATAATAATTGGCAATTAGAAGAACTTACAACTATTTTTCAGAACTGACAAAAAAATTTTTTTTTTTTGTGTAAAAATACAATGGAAAACCTAAATTATTGCTTCAGCTGCTATTATTTTAATATATTCATCATTATGTATGTATTTAACTCATATATTATAGGTTACTTCATTCGAACTTGAATATTTTCACTTTTTTATTAGATTCTTATAGTCACGAAGATTTTTCTCATCATGTGTTACTTTTTTTTGTTACTTTTTGAGTGATTCTGAAGACCCTAATCTCTTTTATTTTATTTAATTAATTATGATGAATTTATTTACATATTCTTTAAGACAGTAAAATTTCCTGCAAAACTATAAAAATATTTAGTGGCATTACTGAGCAGTATAATTTTCCATAAGTCTACATTTAAATTGCAAAAAAAAAACAATGAATAGCTCGTATCTTATCTTATCGTCAAAGTTTAGTACAAGTTAAATGAATTTTAAGTTTAATCTCATTTATAAACGATATCTCATAAGCAATATTTGATGAATATAAGTACATTAAAATCTCATTGTAAGGTTTTGCGAAAAGAAGAAGTGAAAAAACATCAAAGGCTATATTATTTTTCATGGTAGCCAATGTCCGCACCAAATTCTCGTTTAGAAAGAAACGAGAATTCTTGAGGTATTTCATCAATGAATGTATTTTTAATTCAATGAAAATCACCTAATTTATATATCATTTGATCAATTTCACCGAGTATTTTAAATCAGCATATACTAAGCCGCTCAAAATTATTCGTACACCTTACTTTTTCTCTTTCTTTTGTGCCTGTGTACACCTTAAGCCTTCTTTGTCTTGTTCATATGATGTAGACTGACCAAAAGCGGTGACGTTTCAATCCTGTCTCTTAATCTTTTACACCTCTCGTCCACGGTTTCATGCTCGAAATATGGCACTGCCCTTTGCTGCGGAGATTTTGTCTCACTCTTCAATATAATTATTTGATTTTTGACAAAATGAACTATGACACTTTAAAAAAAGAAATATTCATAAAACTTCCGAACTTTGATAGTTAATGATCCTTAAAATGGAGGTTCATTAGGTGAAATTGTGAAGTACATGAATATTTCACGAGCAACGGTTCTGTATGTTGTGCAGAAATACAAAGTATATAAATGTGTAAGAAGACTTTCTTGGTCGTGGAAGGAAGAGAATTACAATAGAAAGAGTAGACGATTTTATACGAAGAACATTGATTTTTCAGTGACCAAAATCATCTGTACCACTAAAGGCTGAAATAGAAAATCAATTAGAAATAACAATATCTACGACAGCAATAAATTGTTGAATAAATGAAGTCGGTTATTGGGAATTATTATTAAGAAAGTAAAACATCTAAACTATGTAATAAAATACGTTGAAGAGAATTATTGCTTTTAGAAAAAAAAATTGTATGGTTTGATGAGGCCAAATTTAATTAATTTTTTTCCTGTTCCAAAGTAGTAGTTTAGGGAAAAGTTAACGAGGAATATAGCCTATTCTGTAAATAATCAGCAATTCAAATTTCATGGAAGTAATGTAAAAGTAAGCGGCTGCTTAAATCGAAAAGGAACAGATAATCTGGTTTTTATCGATGAGACTTTAACAAATGAAAAATATAAAAAGATTTTGAAAGAAAATCTATTTGAATCAGCACAAAAATTGGGATTAGGATCAAATTTTATATTTCAACATGATAATGGTCCTAAACATTTGAGTGAGAATAGTGTCAGACTGCTTGGATGTAAAACGTCTCACCTAGAGATCACCAAGTCCCAATCTGAATCCTATTGATCATTTATGGAGTGAACTTGATCGACGAATTCGAAAATGTACACCATCGAAAAATGGATATAGACGGAAAAAAAATAATAATAACAGAATGGAATGAAGTAAAAAAAGATGTAACCGAAGCTTTAGTTGAGAATCGTTTACAAGAATGCATAAACCCACTAGACTTTCCGACTCGATATTAATAAAATTAGACGAGAAGGAAAAGAATAAAAATTCATCATGTTTCTTTCTGCTTTTGATATGAGAAAAAAGACAATACTATCATTAATTATATTGAACTATGCTCAATAGAAAGATTCAAATGTAATTGAGAAGGTTGAACGTGAAGCTAATTCAATTTCTTTCTTTTGATGAAGTTGACAGCATTTTCTTGTATGAAAAGTGAGGTGTAGGAGTAATTTTGAGTGCATTTGGATTTACAGAGAGTTCCGTAAGTCAGTGTAAGAATGAAAAACAAACAATAATGATTGTATTCTGAATTATTGATGAATTATTTAATAATTGAATTTTATCTCAAGAAGGTGAAGCTAAATTTCTTGATGTATGGCTCACTGAAAGTGTATAAAGAATATCAAGGGAAAAGTACGAGAAAAACAATTTTCAAGCTTTAAACAATCCAAAACTAGATTGATCAAAGAATGAAAAAAAAGGAACTTGTAATGATTGATAAAATTTTCTGAGACTTGTCGAAGCAATAAACAGTGATGAATAACAAATATATGATAGTTAATTAAGATGTTTTTCGTTTTTAATAATAAAATATCTTGTCGATCGATTGCGAAACATTTATTTTTACATTTTCATATTTATATTGTTTATTATTACAAGAGAAGATATTATCCAATAGAGTAGCATTTGAAAGATTTGATACATGTATTCAAGAATCATATAGAAACATTGGGTTAAGGATTATTCTCAGTCTGTATATAAACTAATTTTATTGCGCCTCAAAACTTATGAAATAGCCTGTATTGAATAGATTCCAATATGTGTCAAAATCAAAGCCACCTGACCATATCATGTAACCACTTCAATTACACAAAACATTTTCTAGAGATCCTGCAAATGTGTTCTAGCAAAAAAATCAGCTATATTGTCAGATTAGATCTCATATAGGATGTAAAAGGTTACCATTTAGGGAATAATTTTGTGGCTTCTGTTTTTTCTACGATAGTACGTATTACATATGGCATGACATTTTTTATGTATATCATAATTATCTCCTGAACTGTGAAATCATTTACTTTTATTTTGCTACTACTAGTAGAACTAGACCATGGTAAAAGAAAAAATGAATGGAAATTTCAAGTCAAACTCTGTAAGTCTTGTCGAAACATTCATTCGAAAAATAACATAATCCATTCTATACTAGGCTCTCTTATCTAACGCAAAAATGAGATTTTTATGTCGTTTCTGGAATGAGCAAAATAGCATAGGTTATTGTAGGTCACAATTTCTCTAATATGTCCGATGCAGTTGTCAATTATAAAAATTATGGTCCTCCGAATATTTTGAGTACAAACGAATCCCATATACAGAAGGGCCATATTATTATTGTCACACACATCTGTGAAAGTTTCCGAAAAACTCATATTTTCTAAGTAGAAAGCTAGACAGAAGCGCAGATTGTGGTGCCCCTTAATGACATTTGAAAACTTTCAGATCCTACATTTCCCTAATAGAATCAGACGAATGGCTAATTTTTTCTTCTACAAATGTGAGGAGCTATTAAGACATTGTGTAAAAACAGCTTAATACATATCGACACATAAAAGTCACAATTATTTAAAAAACTGAAATTGTTAAAACAAAACGGTACAATGGGTATGCAATTCAATCAAATATTAGTGTCGATTGAAATAAAGTAATTTTTTTTGTTTTTTCTAGTATTGATAGATTTTTATTTATGATCAATAATGCAAAACAATATTCATCATGTAAAGATTGTTTTTTGGAATCGATAAATTCAATAAAAAAAAATTAGTATTGTCCTGAGAAAATATATAGTAATAAACAGCTTTTGTTTATAAATCATATTTTTGCATTTAATTTACTTTAAGTTGTTCAAATTTAACAATAGTTTCTCGATTAGTTTGACGAATACCGTCGTGTATGAATACAATTCTATCACATCTTTTTCTTGGTAAATCATCTGCTTGAATGCATTCTTTTTGTGTGAATAATTTATTTTTGTTGCAAAAAATAAAAAGGAAGAAAATTGCGTTTTGTTGTCGTCATTGTCGTTTTGATCGAAAGAAAAAAAAATAATAGAAAAGGAAAAGAAATACTGTCATCATTCTTCATATATTATCGTATAACGAAAAAAGTGATTCGATCCGATCAAATAAATATTGATTTTCGACCAATAGACAAACAATAATTATGTTCGTCATTACAGAAAAAAAAGGTAAAAAATGAAACACAACGATACACACCAGTGCTTTTGCATTTATTTGACATTTAGTAGTACAAGGTTTTTTTTTGTATTGATTAGATCGTTATCGAAAAAAATATCTCGTTTTCGTACCTACGTATTTACATACGAGTCTCGTAACAGTATGAAAATGCGTAGGCATTTTGAGTTCAAAATAAAGTAAAACTATATGTGTTTGTCATTAAGGTCAACTTACGACTAATCACATCGAATATTCATTATTTTGTGCAATAAAAGACGATCATTTTATTTTGTAATAAGAAATCAGCGCGTGCAATCGATATGAAATATTTTTTTTGAAAATGTCGTAGTTATTCTTCGCTAAAGAAAAAAATAGTATAAAAATTGTCACATATTAGTAAACATGTTTTGATTTTCTCTTAATAGTCTTTCTTCTTCATTACAGTCGATTATCGTGTTTCAGGTGTATGGTTTACTTTTTTTCGAATAGGCATACTTTTCATAATTTATGCTGTTATTTTAGAAGAGAAAATTGAGGTTAATTATCAACTTCTTTCGAATTTATTGATCGATTTTTCATTTATATCGCAACTCAAATTGAAGAAAAACATTTTTCTCAATTTGAATGGCAAGTTAAAACGAAAATTGATTAATAAAATTATTTGACATCGTAAATAACGTAGAATAAGTACTATTAATCGGTAGCTTTTTTTTTCTTTGAAATACAAGTTAGACATATTACTCTAAACTGTTGTGTCGTTGTTTTATATTCATACCAATAAAAT